CCTTCGTGCCAGAGGCACAGGGAGATGAGGAATGGCAGGTTATGGGTCAGTCCATAACTGATCCTCCCTGACGCTCCTTCCTCCTCATGCTGCTCCCCTGCTCCAGCGTGGGGTCCCTCCCATGGAAGACAGTCCTCCAAGAACTGCTCCAGCGTGGGTCCTTCCCACAGGCTACAGTTCTTCAAGAACTGCTTCAGAATGGGTTCTTTCCATGGGGCAAGTCTTTCAGGAACAAATTGCTCCAGCGTGAGTCCCCCACGGATCGCAACTCCTGCCAGGAGCCTGCTCCTGTGTGGGCTCTCCTCAGGCTGCAGCTTCCTTTAGGGCACGTCCACTTGCTTTGGTGTGGGATCATCCATGGGCTGAAGTATGGATATCTGTTCCACCATGGTCCTCTATGGGCTGCAGGGGGACAACCTGCTTCACCATGATCTTCTCCATGGCCTGCAGGGAAAATCTGCTTTAGTGCCTGGAGCACCTCCTCCCCTCCTTCTCTGACCTTGGCGTCTGCAGGGCTTTTTCTCTCACATTTTTTCCTCACTGTTCCCTATCACACATTGCTGCTCAGCGTTTTTACTGTATCTTAAATGTGTTTTCACTGCTACCAGCATCACTGATGGGCTCAACTTTGGCCAGTGGTGGGTTCCTTTTGGAGCCAGTTGGAACTGATTGTGTCTGGCACGGGGCAGCTCCTGATCTCTTCTCACAGAAGCCAACCCTGCAGCCCCCCTACTACCAAAACCTTGCCATGTAAACCCAATACAGCCCAGACAATTTTTCAAATTATTTGCATAAAAAATGGAGTGCTTTCTCCTTTTGAAAAATCAAACCTAAAATATTGATGATTTAAAAACCATCTTGCTAGGCAATATTAAACTAAAATGGTTTCTCCTTAAAAATACATTTTGTGCATCATTCCATCTTTAAAATCTATGGATTTTTTTCCTACGAACATTATAACCTTATCATATTAAAGATGGAAATTAAACTTAAAAAAGATTTTCTATGCATCCAGAAACTCCAGTTTATCATTTTGCACTTAGATTCTGTACATGTACACTACAAAATATATTCAATGAATCAAATATTTAATAACCAGATATTTACAATAATAATTAGAGATAATACAAAAGGACAGTTACTATTCCTCAAAATTAATTTATAAGTTTGTTTCAAGGTCATATTCATCAGATGAAATAGAAAATCTCTTTCCATAAACAGCACGTTTTGGGTATTGATCTATACCATCAACAAGGGTTTTTTTCTTCATTTTATCCCTTCCTAGATGAACCAGTTAGATCCATTTAATATTTGTTGCCATGCTATTTGTCAAACAATACAGCTATTAATGTAAACAGTATTCACCATTCCAAGAAGTACAATCAATAAAACCACATAGTAACAATGTCTGATCTCAATTGTTTCATCAGTTCTGCTCATTTTGTACAACAGATGTTAACCTTTCAAAAACTGCATATGGAAACATTTTAAACCAACATACTGCCAGCTAAGAATAATATTAAGGACTCAAATTTTGTGCAAAACATAATAAATATTAACTTTTGTGTTCAGAACTTCAATTTGCATGATTTACTACCATAAGTGGCAAGAGATTACACAAATTCTATATTCTGTGGAGGTATACATATTAAAGAGCAAGATAATAAGTGTTAACATGAAATCATTTAGGCAAAGATGTAAGGACTTCATGTCTGTATTTTGATACCATTTTTAATCTTACTAAAACTGTTATTAAAGAAAAAATGTTGCCATTGTTTGTTTATAACCTTTAAAAGTATAAATCAGCCACACATCAATTAATAACATTGTATATTTTTCTAAATAACTACAATGGATCTCCCAAATCATCTCACAAATACAGGTTTTGGAGCAGCTAAGGTGTTTAGGTAACTGTGTTTTGCTCTTTTGTTTTTGCTCAGATTAAGATGCACAAAGATCTTTAGACAGCTGTGGTTTCAATCTTGTGTATGCTCCCCTTTGCTTACTTAAACATCTAGCCATCACCCATATTTTACAGAAATCATCCTTCTGCATTCCTCTAACCCTGCATATAACGTGTTATTTTATTTGAACTCAAGCTACCATCCCAGAAAAAAGGCTCCTGAATCAGAAGTCAAAGCCATTCTTTACAGGTTATTGATGGTATTAGAGCAAATTAGACAGGGACAGTCTCAGAAATTAGAAAGGCTCAACAGCGACATTTGGATGTCTCTACATAGGAATAGACAGGTTCCACCTAAGATATAACTTGAGTTAGGCTGGAATCTTTGAAAAAGCCAGTTTCTCCTTCCTTAACTTGTTTTTCATTTAATGGCAACAGCAAGGTTAAAAAATATGCTAATTAACTCTACAAACCCCTGTCTTCTCCACATATGGCTGGCCAGGTCTCCAACGCCATGACTGATTTGGAGATGAACTCTCTTTAGAGTCATTTTTCTCAGATGGGTGTTTCTGTCTTACTAACTTTTTGTTGCTGTGAAGATAGAGTTCATTGAGGCATTAAGGGTTTACCACATTCCTTCTTTCCTCTAATACTGTTGACCTTTTATTTTACTCATGTTGTCAATGGGGTTTTGTTGTTCACAGAAGAATGTTCATGGTGGTACAGTTTGCCCTGTCTGCAGCCAGAGACCAGGAGCCTTGGAGACAGTGAGCAAGTATGATTAAGATACTATGGCAGGCCCTGGCAAGGAGTCCTGGCTGGAAATGCTGCTGAAGACTACAGGACTGCTCAACCTTGGTGGTGATGCACCACAGGGCATGGTTCCCAGCCAAAACTGGAGAAACTGCTCCTGGCGCAGCAGATGCCTCAATTCACAGCTCCGGATCAAAAATGCTCCCATCAAGGTCATGCTATCTCCCTCTGAGGCTGGGGCAGGCAGAGGCAATATCCTTGCCTGTAGATGCTGCGCTCCTGTCAAGGAGCTCTGTCACCAAGATGAAGGAAGGGACCAACAGGAACCTTGTGAAATTCAGCAGTGACAAAGTCCTGCACCTGGGAAGGAAGAGTCCCTTGCAGCAATATAGGGGTGGTGGTTTTTTCAAAGTAGCTATTGCTTGGTGACTGGCTAGGCATCGGTCTGCTGGTGGTGTGTGATTGTTTTTGCATCAATTCTTTTCTTTTTTTTTTCTTTTTTTTTTCTTTTGCTTCACTTATTAAACTGTCTTTATCTCAACTCACTAGTTTTTTCTCAATTTTGCCCTTCCAATTCTCTCCCTCATCCCACTGTTGGGGGGTAAATGAGGACTGGGTGGGAGCTTACCCATCACAAACAGGCTGCCCAGAGAGGTTGTGCAGTCCTGGAGGTTTTTGAGACCCCACTGGACAAAGCCTTGAGCTACCTGGTCTGACCTCAGAGCTGACCTTGCTTTGAGCAGGAGGTTGGACTGAAGATCTCCTGAGGTCCATTCCAGCCTGATTTGTTCTGTGATTCCATGATTTGCAGTTCTTGTGAATCAGAGATAGTAACAGCTGCAATTAAATCAGTTCCTACCCTAGTCTTTGGATGATAACTGTTACCAATCCACCAGATGATGGATTACATAGTTTCAGCTGACACTAAAATACAATTTTTAATTTTCCCCTTTAAACTGATAATCAATAGTTTTGAAGACAATCTTATCCTAAAATAATCAGCTATGAAAAGGCAAACACTTCAGGGACATTCACTTTTATGATAAGGAAACAGATGACTGCGCTCCGTCTCCGCCTTTTGACTTTGATAAAAAGATGTGAAGTTGTGTCAATTAGAGGTGTGATACTTACAAACAGAGCTGATCACAGATGTCTAATATTCTATGTAAGTAACATTTTAAAAAACCAAACAAACCAACCCCCCTAACACATCCATATAACTAAAAGATATTTGAAATACAGTAACATGCCTTAGCAAATAAGCATTTTTCTGGCCACATCTCGAACCTCAAATTACTTGCATTACAAAGAAATCATGAAAATGCCGATATGATATGGTAGGATACGATAAAATAAATACCACAAAAAAAACCCAGAAGAGGTGTTTGTTATGGAAGATATTTTATAAATTTTATAAAGCTAAGCTAAATGTGTGAATTGCAGTTTGCTGTTCCTGAGCCATCACAGAAATATAGAAAAATCATATCATTACATCTAAAAGCAGACCTCAAGTACAGAACCTCGCTCTCTTAATCTTTCCCAAGAGAAATTACCAAGTTTAACTATACCCCAAATCTGGTCCTAGTTACTCAGACTGTGATTATTCAACAGTAAATGCACATAAATGACATTAAATTATTTCTTATTTAGGCAAACAAGAATGTTACTCTCTCACTCTGCCCAACTTGTAACATCAAGTATGTACATTTACTGATTGGTTGGGGTTGGGGTTTTTTTTGCTTTCTCTTACACATCTTTCAGTGTGTCAATGAAAGTGGGAGCCTTCTGGATTACTACTTAATTATTGGCACAGAAAACCATAAAATAAAGGAAATACCCACAGATAAGAGTCTCTGAATAATTTATCACATCATTTTTAGCAGTACAATAAGGTTTAAAAGTGAACAGATCTTTAGAGGAATAAAAAATAAGAAATAAGGCTCTTCCCTCAGTTCTCACTTCCCTGAGAAGAGATTCAATATTCAGCAAGACAGAGAAATGATTTGTCTCACAGCTTTTTTTGCTTTGACCTTCATCACATCAGGACTCTAGCTACCAAAGCTTACATAATCTCTTCTGTTCCTCCCAGTATTCACTTTTGCTCCCTAGTCTTGTCAAACTTGTCATTTCCCCCTGCTCCTTTTAAAAATGAAAAGATATTTCTTTCTGTTTCTGTACCCTACAGAAATTCAAAGCCACTGAGTTGTAATTGTCCAGGTCTGAGATGTAGCCAGGGCTGTTCTGTCTTGCACAACCCTTGTTTTAGGGACACATTTTGACATAATGAAATAGTAATTATTTTTGGGAATGCTCCCCAAGTATTCAAATGAAGCAATGCACATACCTTATCTTTAACCAGCAGCTTACTTTGTGCATTTTGGTGATCACAACTCGATTTAGTTAGTGTTGCTTTATTTTTCGTCTTCAAAAGTCCCTGAATTTCTTTTACCTGCAACTTCAATCTTCTGTTCTCTTCTTCCAAACTTTGCTTTTCTGCTTCAAGTCTCTCTCTCTTTCCCCATTCAGAGGTATTCTCAAACTGCAGTCTTTCCAGCTGGGAAGGGTTGGGGTGTGGGGGAAGAACAACCGAAAGAGAGAAAAAGAAAGAGGAATAATATGGTTAAAACCCCCTGTTCTTTACAGCGTGAGGCTAATGGCCTCACCTAGAGTAAAGTGGGCATCTTAGAAATCAGTCCAAGATATAAGTTTTCCATGTTTCATAAAGTTAAGTACGTAAATTTGAAAAGAAAAAAAACAAGAGGTACATTAATTGTACCTTTATAAAAGTGAAGCATAGGTAATGTTTTAATATAGTAACTGGTAACCAAATCTTATTTCTTTCCCTGCTATTTATGGAACAACAGTATTAAAAAAAAGAAATTTAGTAAAAGAATTTGTTTTAAATAACATTTAGACTGATTTTGGTCTGATAGTGTCAAAGTTCATGTTTTATTCCCCAAAAGATGAAAAATCAGCATGTTTTTAGTTAGAGTCTGTTTATACTTTAGAAGGACTATAATGAATATTCATTAAACTGAAGAAGTTCTAAAGTATGTCTTCAGTACTAGAAACAGCTATCCTAATAACCAGAGGAAGGATTTTTAAGTTTTCACACTACTCTGCTTCTTGAGGTCACAATTAATAGTCTTAAGGGAAATACTATCTTTTATGGCCAATGCTGTAACCAAGCTTTCTGAATTCATTTATCTAATCCACATACAGGATGAATTAAATATATCAACAAAAAGCAATGTTACTAAGTTATATAAAACAATTATCTAACAACTGATTTTATTTATTCTTCAGAGACAACTAGACAGAGGTTTTGTCAAGAACATATGAAATGTTCCTCAGATTTCAAAAGAAAAACTGGTAAAATGAATTGATTTTTATAGCACAAAACAGGTACTTATCAGGTTCTAAAAGGTACTTACCAGAAGATTATTATTGATAAGTACTTACTATTAACAAGTTATTATTAACCGGTACTTATGAGAAGATTGAAAGAGATTAAGATAGATTAAAAACTGTGAAAATGAAAGATTCTAGTTCTTTCAACTGAGACAAAAAAAGAAGAGAAATGCTAATACATAAAAGTCAAAATTTTAAGAACTTTACAATTTTCAGTTTTGTGAGAACTAAAATCAATTATTTGATGAAAGTAGAGACTGACAGCAGTGCAAGGCACTTCTTCATTGAAGAAACAGAATGTCTGTGCCAACAAGGCTTTAGAAAGAGCCAGAGAGGTATACTTTTTCAGATATTGGTTACTTTTATTTTAAAATCAATTTCTGGCAAACAATGAAAAGCTACTGAACATGAAGCAAAGAGAATGAGGTGTTACAGCAGCAGAGAAACATACTTCAGACCCTGTGAATTGTAACAATGTGACTATCTAGTTAAATCAAATAGTAAACTTGTCTGTTCCCACCTTATTTCTGAGCAAATAAAAAAAATTAAAAACTCTATAAAGTTAAAGAGGATCATTCAGATTTTCAGAGGAAAGTAGAAATGCTTTTTGAGTCTCTCTAGTAAGGACAAAAATCACATTCAATGGAAAATAACAAGTGATTGTTTACTAACAATTATAATATTTTTTCTAGATATTTCCCTAGCTAGTATTCTACATATGATAAGCTAGAGGATTCCCCAAAAGCCTAAGTAAAGTAGAGGGAAGCAAAAAGCTCCACAAGCTTCATCTTCTTATAATGAACGATAAAAGACAAACAGCAGTGCTGATGTTTCAAACACGTTTCCATGTATAAATCAGACCCCGACCATAAGCTTATCCATTTGAAAATGAGGTCCATAATGTCCAAAGGCTTACATCATTTATCTACGCGCACTTCATGAACTAAAGTTGCATCTAAATAGTAAAGTATAATCCTTGGAATAAATAGGAAATCAAAGACAAAAGAACTAATACATTACCAGAAAATACTTCATTAACAAATTAATTAGAACCATCTCCAAATTCCATTTCTAAACCAATTCACATACCGTATGGCAATCACTGCCTGTATGAAATTTAACAAGAGCAAATGCTGGATTCTCCACCTGGGATGGGGTAATCCTGGTTATATGTACAAATTGGAGGACAAGAGGCTGGAAAGCAGCCCCACGGAAAGAGATCTGGGGGTTTGGGTTGATGGCAAGTTGAACATAAGCCAACAATGTGCCCTGGCAGCCAAAAGGGCTAACCGTGTGCTGGGGTGCATCAAGCACAGCATAGCTGGCCGGTCGAAAGAGGTGATTGTCCCACTCCATACTGCACTGGTGTGGCGTCACCTTGAGTACTATGTGCAGTTTTGTGTGCCTCAATATAAGAAGGACATCGACATATTAGAGTGTGTCCAGAGGAGGATGACCAAGATAGTGAAAGGTCTCGAGGGCAAGACACATGAGAAGTGGCTGAGGTCACTTGGTTTGTTCAGCTTGGAGAAGAGGGTGACCTTATTGCAGCCTACAACTTCCTCAAGGGGGAGGTGCTGATCTCCTCTCTCTGGTGACCAATGACAGGACATGAGAAAATGGCATGAAGCTGCATCAGGGGAAGTTCAGATGGGACATTAGGAAAAGGTTCTTCACTGAAAGGGTTGTCGGTCACTGGAACAGGTTCCCCAGGGAAGTGGTCATACTACCAAGCCTGTCGGAGTTCAAGGAGCATCTGGAAGACACTCTTAGACATATGGTTTAGCTTTAGGTAGTCCTGTGAGGAGCAGGGAGTTGGACTCAATGATCCTTATAGGTCTCTTCCAACTTGAGATATTCTATGATTCTAAATACAGAGGATGAGTACCAACTATTTCACTTAGAAAAGTCAATTGTCAAAGAGTTAAAATCTGAATGGATTATGTCTAAAGGCCAACAAAAGACAGGCTGTTCCTTCTCATCATGGATTATTTGCTCCCCTTAACAAAGAAAACAACAAGAAGAACAACAAATGAACAACCCTCCCCACACACACCCAACAGAATTCCTAAAACCTTGGCCAGTCTTAACATCATGATACACTGTTGGAGGGTACTATTTGGAGAGAACTCTGAAACAGTTCTTAAAACTAAAATGGGCCTTTGATCTAAGATTAGGCAAACTAGCAAGTAAAAGAAAGGAATATATTCCTTTCATACTCTATCATATTGGCAGACTAACTGGGAACTAATTTTAACTTTTTAAACAATTATGCTATTCAGCAGTTGCCTTTACATTATGAATTTTTTCTTGTATGAAAAGACTTTACACAGCTACAAAACTACTAGTTTTGGGGGGTGGTCCATCTGGGTAAAGAAAAATACAACAGAGTAAAAGGCCTATGTATTTTATATTCATGCTACCTCACAGTCTTTAGAGGTTATTTACCAGGTTAAATTCCTTAGAATGCGATAAACATCTGTACTGAGATTAAACAGGGAATCAGGGAAGGATAATTTTGTACCCTTGTTTTTGGGTTTGGGGTTTTTTTGGCATGGTCTACCCACTGGTGATAGAGTACAAGATGTTAACTCCAATACACAAGACAATGTTAGAAGCTCATATGTTCCTAATGAGGTCTTTAAACTCTATCCCCACCCCCCCCCCAATTTGTGCAGATATATAGTTGTTCAAATACCATCTACTGGACTACAATCACAAAAACTGTATTTTTCTAAATATGCAGGCATAATGTCTTACAAGTACCTACGAAAGATTTGGAACATAAGAAAGCCCTATGTTCTTACAAAACATCTGCCAAAAGACACAACTCAAAATTTAAGCTTGAAAGTTCACCTTTTCACAGTGATGACAATAATCAATACCAATTCATTTTTGGCAGACTTCAAGTAGAGAGAAATCACAAAGCCATCCAAGGTTGAATTTCAGTCAGGCAATTAAGCACAAAATTACTACCAAACCAAGATCTGATGTCAAAGATAAACTTTCTTATCTCTGTGTCTGTAAAATTTCAATTCATTGCACCCAAGATGTCTACAAGCTCTAATAATGATAAATTTAAATATTTAATATACCATATACACAAAGAACTCCATAATAAAGTCCGAAAAAAATACTAACTTGTACAAAATCATGACTAGACAATTTTGGTATCGCTGAATTTACTATAAATCATTGTTCAGCAAAGTACTAGAACTCATATTTTCTGAAATACTAATTTTCAGAGTGTTAGTAATCAGGGTTAATAAAGTCAGAAAAAAATACTAACTTGTACAAAATCATGACTAGACAATTTTGGTATCGCTGAATTTACTATAAATCATTGTTCAGCAAAGTACTAGAACTCATATTTTCTGAAATACTAATTTTCAGAGTGTTAGTAATCAGGGTTGGTTTGTTGTTCATTAAGAGTTCTCCCAAACTATACCTTATGCTTATTCCAAATAACACTTCTCATATAATGTTCTCATAGGAAGTATTTGCTCTCTTTTTCCTCTTTGTTAAAGAATGTGCAAAAAATAAGTGAGGTGCCAGATCCCAACTTTCAGATTTCAAGTCAGAACACCAACTTCACAAAGTCATCATGTGTAATTTTGTCACTGCCAGCTAAAAAGATCAACTTTCTCTTAAGTAGACAGAATTTGTCTCTCACACTTGTGCAATGCATTCCTCATCCCACCCACACCCCAAAACCCCTGTCAGGGCCCTTCCAGCTCCAGGAGTTCAACTGGCAGCACTCAAGGCCAGCTAGCTGATATGAGCTGTTGTAAAGAGCTGTTGTAAAGAGCTGGAAGAAGACTCAGCAGAGGGAAGTCTCTTTTTGCCTCAGGGCCGCTTTTAATCTGAATATTCCACTCTCCATCTTTGACATAGCTATGTTGCAAATATTTACATATTTGCATTTAAAACAAGCAGGAGAGGTTCATACAAATGTAATATAGATTGCAGAAAACAGCTTTGATAACCCTATTGTTTTATGAGGAACACAGGTGTTCCTGAACTGACTAGTCTCACCTTTCTATATGAACTTTTAAACATATTTTATCTTGAATCAAATAAAATTAATTATATATTTTAACTCAATTAGTGGAAAACCCAAACATTGCTATTAAAAAGGCCATG